GCTACCACTAGAATGCTATGATATGCGCAAAAATCTTGATCCAAGGCAGGACTCGATCCCGCACCCCATGCTCACCGGGTGAGTGAGCTTAGAGTTCCAGCACTGAGGCCGCTCTTATCCTTTCAGATCAATGGCTTTTGACCAATAAAGACTTGTACAGCTATTATTACATCTTTATTCCTGAAGATTCACTTAAAAGCTAGATCTTCTCTCCAGGATAAATGTCGACAGCAAGGGAACGGTGCATTACCGCAGCAAAAGTCAACGATGCCACGAGTAACGGAACCAAATCGAACGGAACCTTCTCGACAAAGGTACGATTACTTCAAAAAAATTTGTTGAAATCAAAAACTGCCCGTGACTTCTATGAGTATTGATTTTCAGGCCCAAAACTATGGCAGAACCTGAAGAGGTTGTAAGACCGAAGGTTGGCGATAGACGAGGTTCTCAAAGCTCACGTGCTCGAGAAGAAAAGAGGTATCGTGGCTATTTAGCTAATAATTGATCAGATTGGACATGTTGAAAATGGCACTCAACATTTTCTACGCTGTGCACTCCCCGTCTGAGACGGTAGTGCGCCTTTTTGTTGCGGTCGCGTTGCGGAGCTGCAGTCAACGTGCAGTCTCGTTCGCTGCGAACGAGGGGCGTGTCAGTGAGGCTGGGTTCGACACGCCGCCAGCCCTTTCTCAACCACTTGTTGAAGTGGGTAAACGACAGCGACAACGAAAACGACTAATGCGAATGATATAATACAATTTTGTCGCTTGTCGGAAGAAAAAGGTGAAAAAGGGTGACGCTGCGCCAAACCCACCATCCCTGTCACGCCCCATCATCCGCATCGAACAAGAATGTTTAGTGGACGGTGCTTCATTGGTACCACTCAGTTCTGGTTCGAAGCGTCTAGAAAAGAGGAAAACACCTAGTTAGCCCCAAAATGCCCAACTCCGACCACAAGGTTAAAGGACGGTTATGGTGTTATGTACTGGCGATTTAGGTCCCGCACTTTTTTAGGTGAGATTGTAAGTTAAAGTGATTTATTTAGACACAAAGAAAGCAGGCCCTTGTTCTACACGGAACCCGATAGTCGATACGAAGAACCTAAAAGCGATAGGTAGGTCGTCTGTGGTCTCTTTTACCAGTAATTGTAATTGTAGGGTAGCTTTCATAGTATCCTTAACAAAACTCAATCAAGAATGCTGAACCCTTATTTTTAAAGAATTACGCCAGAACATTTCAAGTACTGGTCGAATTCTGAGGCGATCTTCGGAACCTGGAAATGGGCGCGTCCCTCGGGGGATTGCGGGTTGTGGGTGAAGGGCAGGGAGCCTCTCTCTCGCTCTTTCAGCGCTCACGTCACGACCGCGCTGCAAAAAGACAGGCAGCTTTGGACCGCACGCATTTGCGTCCTGGGTTTCTCCCAACTTTGGCAGAAGACATTCATTCCTTTCTGGGACAGGGTCGCCCGTTTTATCTTTCTTCCTTAAAGTGCATTTTTTCTAAGTCCAGACTGAGTTGACTTAGGGTTAGGGTGGTAGTGAAAGAGGATATGAATTCCATAAATTAGCTTCGTATCATAATTAACTCCTGTTTTGGCCACATGCATTTGTTACTGTATAGAATCCAGTAAATGATAGTCTTATTGGTAGCATATCTACTTTTTCATGACGTTTCGTCTTCATGCAATATTGGTTTTACACAGCTTTCGTTTTATACTTCTTGTGTTCTGATGAGTCGTTTTCCTCCTCTGAACATCCCTGATTTCATTCTGCTGAGACCAACATACCTAAGTTAAGAACATCCACAGAGCTAGAACAAAGAAAGAGGTTGAACTGCTTGTTGACTGCTGATTGCTGATGCCTGGGTCGCTTTGGGAAATGAGCGTGATAGCCTTGGGCGTGGCTGGCCGCTGAGCCCGCGCTGTCAACGACAATAATGAAGGCTCACCACTATTTTTTTCTTTTTTTCCGCCTTTCAACTCGGATTTTCTTCTAAATTTTGAACTGATTCTCGAGTTTTATTTTAAGATAGTGCGTGTAGCCGTAGCGTAAAACTGAGGTATCGCTCTTTCGATGGTGCGCTGAATGACGCTGACTGCATGTTTTTCCATTTTTAGAAGAGTTCCAAGTCTGCCGAGAGAGTAGGTCAGGCTGGGAGGTCTGCGAAATATCGAATAAAGTGGGCGCCGAAGACTTTTTGCTCTTGGCCCCTGAGGCTGCGTTCCTAGTTCGCGGCCCAGCGCTCTACCAGTTACGCCACTAGTGTTATGACAAAGTATAGGGAAGTAGGAGGGTAGCAAACAGCTGGATTAGGCGTGGTCAACACAGAATTACGCAATTTAGTGTACCGTGTAGTGTAGTTGTACGGTGCGGTTGCACACGCCTCAATTTCACGACGCCTAATCCAGCTGTTTGCTGCCCTTCTACTTCCCCCATACTTCTCTACTCGAGGTCGCTGGCTGAACGCTGGTGGACACTCTCCAGACGCCAAATCAATACCTATGTTTTCCCTAGCCCTGAGGCGCTGGCATACGCTAGTCGAGATTACACTTTTCTTAGTAGGTAGCGCTGCCGGAGGCTCGAAAGTTATGGAAGCTGAGTGGGACGCATGCCGCAAAGTATGAAATCGCAGCCGGAAACTTGAATGACTCCCCTTACCGCACCACCGCTTCAGCGGCAGAGCGCTTCCCGCCGCAGCCATTACTTGATTACTTTTTTGCATATTCCTGTTACGAAGCCCTGTGTGATGGAACAACTTTACAGGAATGCGGCTGCAAAAGCGTTGAGGAGATGAAGCAAAAACATTTTAGCGGAATTGCGATGAAGATATCTCAAAACAAGGGCCCAGGGGAGGAGACGCCACTTATAGGCATTTTGAAAAGTGAAATGTGTTTCGTGACAGTGGTCATGAGCTGGAATGCATAGAAGAGAGAAACCTAGACCCTCTTCCTACCTGCTGTTTTCAGGCTACGCCCTGCGTAGGGGACAACCAGCGGCGTGGAGGAGGGAGGGGGTGGGAGTCGTATTCAGTGGCTGGAGGGAGGGATGTCGTATTTGCCTGAGAAAAGTGTT